TTTTAATTGTGCATGAAAAATGACCACAAGTACAGTACATGTATAGCGGTGTTGACAATGTAGGTTTCTGTGCATTTGCTTCCCACAATGCGTCTTTTGAAGAAGAATTGAACAGCATGATGTATACATGTACATTACCGTACATACATGTACATGTACATTGTACGTGTATGTGCATGCTATTAGGAGGTGGCTCCTTGACAGGTCACTCCATTCTGCTCCACTCTTCATGAATAAGAATACCTGTATTATCCTGGTTACACTGGGGTTTGAGAGCTTTGTACAAGTTCCATCTGTGGCTTCCAGTATACATGTACATGTATTCATCCTTTCTTGTGTACTGGTATACAGCTTAAATCTTTGGGAAATCTTTGACTTTTCACCTTTGGAGGTAATTCTGTTTTTGCTTTCTCTTTTCAGGCTATTCCACGGGTGATGGGTTACACATTTACCAGTACACGTAAAATCTTTAGTCTATTTTGCATGATGGTAAGCTTCTATGATACAGCTTTATGTACACGTACATACAGGCATTCACTCGAGCGATAGAAATCATAAATAGAAAGGGAATTTATTGAAAGTAAAAGTAAACAGTTTGAATCCAACTGTTTGGATTTTCTATACTTTATACATGTATTTGTACATAAAGAAAATTTCTGAAAAAATTATAGTGTTTGTAAATAGATGGTGCCAAAGCTGTCTGTATCACAAATGCTTGCTAAATGGGAGAAATGTCGCAAACTGTTTCATATGTTCATATCATGTACATACATGACCTGTATACATGTACATGTACCTCTTCATGTTAATATTACATGTACATGTATCACTCATGCATGTGGTCAGTAAGAATCATGAAGTGTGTTACCCTGGTACGTGTACATCTGCGCTAATACATGGGGCCTTGTGGCATACCGGAACAATGTGAACTACCCCACAAGGCCAGTTTTTACCTTGTGGGGTACCAAAATCCACAAGAGTTTCATGAAACTGATATTTGGAAATAACTCAAAAGGGGAAAATTTTGATGGATAAAAATCTGTTGCAAATTGAAATGTTTTATATAAGGGACATACGATCGAAACTTCAACCCAGGAAAGTGAATTTGGTTTAAATTGGAGTGATTTGAAATTTTTTTCGTGTTGTGTGGGAGTTTTGTACACAAGAACAAAGGAAATACCCCACAAGTATAGCTGTGTAAGGATTAATGTGAGTGTAATACTCACATGAGTGCTACAAGCATAAACATGTACCTTACATGTACTTCATGTACAGTACATGTACGTGTACCTTGGAACATACATGTATGCAGATTTTATGGAGTCAATCAGCAGAAAAAAAGTGTGGCATAAATGTGTGTGTTTGAGTAACACAGTTTTCTTTGCTGGTATGTGTACATGTACTGGTATTAATTGTACATATTCAATATGCATTTGTGTGGTTTTCTTTCCAGGAGATTCAAACGTGTGAAATGTCATGCGTCATTTCATTTGCATGTACATGTATCTTGTCAGATTGAAGTATCTTTTTTTTTTGCTGGTACATGTAGCTGGTTTGTTATGTGATTTTAGCACATTTCAATTGATGTACATGTACATGCTTGATAGTATCGGTGGCATAAAATCAATAAATTATATTTGCCACAGGCCCACTTGACATGCTTTACTATGTATACCAGTACATGTACGCTAAACGGATGTTACATATTACTTACCCGCACATATTGAAAGCAAGACTTGTAACAATTTTGTAAGGAAACTTAACAGATTCAGAACAAGTACACACATTTAAGTTTGTGTACTGTTACATGTACTGTACATGTATGTTCAAAGAGACAAATAAATTTTGTGTCTTTCCACATGGAGACAGTATATTGCAGTATGTGTACATGTACATGTAGGTTGGTTGTTTGATTTGGTCTGTTTGTCGAATATTGGTTTATGTGGAGTTTGTGCCTTCTTGTGATTTACATGTAGACACAGGATGGTACATACTGTACCATAGTTGTCCTTGGGGTTATGCATCACAGGTACATGTACATGTACCCGACGGTATAGGTACCGGTACATAAGTTTTTGTGTTAAATGCACTGTATTTGCTTTGTTGATATAATTGTCCCCGGTCAGACCTTATGCACGGTCTACTGGTACTGTACCTTTCTGGGCATGTTTTTCCCCAACCTCTAACCTCCTCCCTTAGACTCCATCATGTGCTTTTCTTGTCAGTGCCATACATGTACATGTACATTTTACGTGTGGTGTATGTACAGTACCTGTGTGCATGGATTGCCATACCAACCGAAAAGAAGTGCAAATGAAGGAAATGTACAACTTACAGGTACCAGTACAGTACATGTTGAAATCCGAATTGTGTTCTTATGCTAACAAAGTCACAAGTTTGTTCTTGTGCCAGTATGCAAGTTTTTATACATGCTATACATTGTTGAGTGATTTTTCCTAACTACATGTAAATGTATGACACAGGTCTAAAATTTGAACTTCCTCAGTTATCGTCCTGAAAAAAAATGTACACTAACGAAATTTGATATTTCCAACTTTTGTTTTTACTTCATCATTTGATTTGGCATTTTAGTTAGGGTTGGCATGGTTGGTTGGAAAATGTAGTGTGAATATTTATGAAGCGATCAGTCTCTCAAGTCCCTCTATAATTGACCTGAGGACTGTCTATTAATTCGTTTAGATGTCACAAATCAGATTGGCTTTAGGGAAGGTTGCTAAAATTCAAAACATACCGATAGTACAGAATATTCATTTGCTCACATGTTGCTCTGTGCGCTTACTACAAGTGCAAAAAATGCATGCCGCAAGAAGGAAAATTCCTCATAAGAGATTCAGAGTCAAATGCAATCATTGACTGCCTCAGGATGTGGTGGCACCACTTCCCACAATTATGCCACTCCACTCATTTCCCTCATTTCAATTTCAAATCATTGCTTGATTATAATGCACTTTGAGGATAATTATAGTTGAGTTGATGAATTGCAGCTGAGCAGAACATTGCCATAATCAGAATGCCTGAAAGTACAAACCTTTATGCTATGATAAAACAGAGCCCAGCAATTGATGATGTACGGTACATGAACATGTACATGTACTGCAGGCAAACTCATGTACTGTACATGTACAGTACATGTACTGTACATGTACTGTACATGTACTGTACATGTACTGTACATGTACTGTACATGTACACATGTACTGTGAAGTGCTCTGCATTTGTTGAGTAGTCATATTCTTTTACAAAAAACTCTCTAACATGTCTAAGGAGTAACCAACAAGAACAAATCCCACTTTTTCCTCAAATTTCTGTTTCCTCATTGAATTGAATACAGGAATTTGGGTGTGCAGGTGTTCCCTTGGTGTTGTACTGAAACAGTTGATCAAATTTTAAGTTCACTCTTGCAGTTTTTATTTAGGCGCACATGGTACATAATGCAGAAAATTAAATTTTAAAACATATTTTTACAGAGATGATTTACTGTACAATGTTGTTTTATAATGCTTTCAGAAAAACGTGTGGTTTCAGCTATAAAATTCAGGAACTCAAATGGAGGAATGTTTACTCATGTGCTGTGTTTTGAGACATTTTTACCAAAATGTACATGTACATATAGGATGCTGGATAAATGAAGTTCGCCTGTAAAACTTTGATCTATGTGTAATAGTCTGCTTGTGTTTATGTCACTGTCCCAACTGTAGTTTGGATGATCCGAATTACATGTACATGTTTAGTAAATCATTGGAGTGTGCTAGTGCATCTTTGGAGTCTGCCCATCAATCGTATGTAGTGCACTCGTGTGACATGTGACAGTGTGATGTGCCATGCATTGTACACATCATCAATATGCCGGTACCTGTAAACTCTTGTTTTTTGTTCTTGTCAGTGATAAAAGAAGAGACTGATGAATTTATGGTGGATTTTTTGGGGTTTGAGCAACAGAATACTGGAAATGGTCAAGAAATTTTTATCAAAATTTGCCAACATTGGTTTGGCAACCCAACTATAGCGATATGGTATCAAGTGCAATACGTGGATACGTGGGCTGATATTACTATTGCTTGGCATAAAAGCATAGATGCCTGCACCCACGTACATGTATATGTACATTCTCAGTGATTTGAACAGCTGTAACTCCCAAAACTAAACCAGACAATAATGTTACAAGCCAACATATTTGCTAAACTTGTTCAAACATTGAAACAGGCATGGATTAATGAGTGATATATTAAGAAAAACCTGCTAGAGTGTGAGTTTGGCATTTGTAAATCTTTGATGCAGTTGTGTAAATTGGAGACAGTTTTCTCACTTTTCCCCTCAGGAAATTATAAACCAAAATATTCAACTCCAATCACTGTCCCAATGTAAGTTTCAACTTGGATGAACAGGTACCGATACAACATTTTAGATTAAATACTGTACATGTACATGTACAGTAGGTTCAGGCCATTTTCTCATGCCCTATGAAAAACGCCTTCAGTTTCACAAAGTGTGATGAGCAATGTGGTAGACCATGTGTTTAATTCAAGCAACTTACCAAGCTTACTATAGGCCTACTTGTGTTCAATTAAAGTGTGTACAAATGCTCAGTCAAAGCAGAACAATCTCTTTTTTTGCATTTATTGATGCATGCTCATTGTGTGAGCACATCGTACATGTACTAGTGCGTGAAGCTCCCTCCATACAGCAAAGCTTCTAAACATTTGAGTGGGTGATGGTGATACACAATCTCAAGTTATGTAAATGTAAATGTCACCCAGAGGTACATCTACATGTATGTAGGGACAAAGCTCTGTTTTCATCTACCTGTAATTTTTTAACTCATGTGAAATACGCCTTACACATGTACATGTACTGTGCCGGGCACATTTATAGTAAAACACGACAATCATGTTTTTGCATATTGTTCGTAATTTTTACTTTTTTACTCATTTCATTCATTCCTGCATTTTTTCAATTTCCAAATTATTTCCTCACATTAGGAAGAGAGCAAGGTAAGGATAATACATGTATTGTGACTGTCACTGTTTTGTGTTGTTTGTGAAGCACTTCTGATAACTAATCATAACACACACGAGTATTGTATTCAGAGATTGTGTGCATTTGTGAATGAATGCGAGTCTGCTGTACTTTCCCTTTTCAAATATGTACACCAACTGTTGAACGTACATGTGATCGTTTTTAAACAACATTTACCAATTGCCATGGCAACAGGCACAAAACCTGCATAAATGAGGCATGTTAGTACCACTGTTCTGGTGTGCATCTTATCATTTCCAAAGTGTTCTTTTACAGTGTGAAAAAGCACGTTTGTTATCTTTTTGTCTATGTGCATGCGCACACGTATTTGATATTGGTGACCTGGTTTACACATAATGTACAGTTACGTGTATTGAGTATTTTAGTTGTTAAATCTTACATTATTTGACAAACTGAAACTTGTGTTGAATGTACATGTGTATACCTTTTTATAGATATTACAATTGTTTGTTCAATGTACAGTACATGTACGTATGGCATACATTGAACATGTACAAGCCATGTACACTGTATGTATCGTACATTGTACATGTACTGATACATCTGCATGTCAGTTCTCTGTTCAGTTGCACCGGTATGTACCACATAGTCACCTTTTAGTGTGTAATCCAGTGCCCAAATTGTGAGGCCGTGCAGTGTGTGTGCACAGTTGTTGGTATTTGCACTTTCAGTTTCAGTTTTGTAAGTTTTGCCATACAATATGTGCTCGTGAACATTTCAGTTTTAGGTTTGGTTGTTTGCATCTAACACTGTACTTGTACCTGAGGCTTCATGAATTTGTGGTGTACATGTACTGGTATATGTTTGTTTACACATACAACTTAGGCCTACACACAGTAACTGCATTACATGTAAAATGTTGACTTGATGTGCATGCCCCACACATTATGTCATTTTATTTTCCCTTCACATATGCATATGCCCCGTTAATTAATGTCTAAGCTCTCAGATCTCTAGAAAAAGGGCAGAATTTCCTTACCGTAGCTCGGTGGTCAGGTGCGGTGGGCTAATACAGTGTACCATTGGCGTGCAATGCAAAACCAAATATAGTGCAACAGACCGAAACATCTAACTATGGTAGTACGAGTTCGGGTGTTACAAAATTTTGGTTAAGACAAGTGTTTTTTGCATAGTGGCTGAAAGTATATGTATGTTTAGTACAAGCTTTTTTAAGGCAACTTGTCAATCAGCTTTGAAATTCAATTTTGAAAGGTGCTTCCATAATTAATTCATGTGCAGTAGTACAGTGCTGCGGTTTTCCTCTGAATCAAGCTGTTTGTGTCCGGTGCTGCAAGAGAGACGAACAGTGGGCGTGTGCGGTTCCCATACTCAACATAGAAATTTCTTGTGCTGCCTGAACACAAGCACGTGCCGCCAAAAGCACTACATGTATGATATTTAGGACAGTGGTGAACAAAAGAAATCTTTCATTTGAATCCCCCGCCCCCCCATTCCCCGAGATAAATTCCCCCAGGAAACTAATAAAAATCGTGTTCTGTAACCAAATACCTAGCCCCCAAAATGCCCTCCCCTGTCAAAAAATCATTACCTGCTCCCCACCGTAACAAGAAAATATCATCCCATCTGATTATGAAATTTCTATAAATTCTCAATTTAAGAAAATCATGACTAAACCGTGGTTTTCAGTCCAAAAAATTTAATAAAATAACATTCACAAGTTTTGAAGTAAAAAGTGCACCCCTCACAAATAATTTGTCACCAAACCCACACGCCTTTCCAAAGTACATTTATATTTGCCGTCTACTGTCCACACCACCTGTAGCTGGTTACTCCCACCCCCATTTTTATGTGCCAAAAGCATAGCTCTGGGGTTGGTTACCAACTAAAATGTTAATGTACTTATGTTACATGTGTGCATGTGCATACAGCATCGCTTGGAATCGACATGACTGGTGGAAATTGCACTTCCTCTTTACATTTTTATAATTATTCTTTATTACACGTCTTTATTAACTGTACATATACACCTCACTTTCATAAACAAACTTTTTGAAATCAAATTCATATATCAAAACATACATACGTTTGAACAAAAAGTTATGCATACTAAATATACATGTGTACGCTTTACCCACGGTCGATCGGTGATACATACATGTATGTCGAGCAGGACAACAGCTTTTGCATAGATAAAGTCTAGATAATACAAGCTAATTTAGTAAGTCCCAAAGCCC